TATCTGAAGGAGATTTCAAGACAGCCTAATCTTGACTCTGTTGTGTGGTTATTAGTAATCACTCTTATGAAGGAATACAATGAAAAAGAGCAAATGAGGCAAAAACAAACAATACCCCCCTAAAAAAATCCCTAAATAAACAAAAAGGGAAAAAGAACACCAGGAAGTTTGATGTTGTAGCCAAGAAATGTGCTGAAAGAGATAAAAAAAAAATTAAGAAAAGGCTTGATCTGCACTGGAATAAAGGAAGGGGTGCTCTCAGAGGAGGACCCCAACCAGATAGAAACAACCTGCAAAAGAAAAAGATCTAAGGATTTTCCATTCTGAGAAAGGAGCAACAAACAAAATCTGTTGCAAGTGTGGTTGAAGAGGGCCAGGTTCAGGCTCAAGCTGGCAGTTAAATTTGTCAACGTCATCCACATAGTGCTGGCTTCACATGAAGGATACATGACTAAATGTGTTATGGGATCTTCCTCTGCAGTTATGGGGAAATGCTGTGGCTTTGCATTATGATATGGCCATAAGTTCATGGGGCTCAGAGTGTGGAGTATGGAGGCTTCAATGAGAGATGTCCCCCATAGTCTCTCTGGATTTGAATGCTTTGCCACAGATGTTGGCCTTATTTATGAACTTAGGAAGAATGTTCTTACTGGTGTGGGGTTTGGTTGCTTAAAGACTTGTGCCATTTCAAGTTTGCACTTCTCTATTTCAGCTTACAGTTTAGTAGTCATTCTAGCTGCCACACTTCCTATCATGATGGCGATGGTCTCTTACCTTTCTGAAACAGTTAAAACCCTTACTTTTATAAGTTTCTTAGCTCATGGCGTTTTATAACAACAAGATAAAACTAGCTAATAAAGTCCAGCATGGAAGTATTATAATTACTTGCTTTAGGTGCAGAGTGGGAGAATACTAGGACTCATTTTGTTGAGGAAACCTAAGTATTGCCCTAGGCAGCGCTTTAAAGTCTTTAACCCCCAGTGTCTTTAACTATATTTTCAAATTAACCATGGATGTAAATGAGCGTTTCTTTGGGGTTTTATTGCTCAATAGTTACTTCAAAAGAACAGAACACAAATGTATACAAAACCACATATTTTTGCATTTCATTCTCCAGTGATGGAGGAGGGTCTTCTGTTTATGTGTTACTTTCATTGGTTAATAAAGAAACTGTCTTGGCCCTTTATAAGATAGAAAATTAGGTAGGCGGAGTAGACAGAACAGAAAGTGTAACGGCGTAAGCGAATGCAGACAGATTGTCAAAATATAGACAGCTTTAATGGAGGAATAGACTTACAGAACCACTGTTCCCGCGGAGACCAGGAAAGCAGAAGAGAGCGCTGGGAGCACGCTCACCAATTTTATAGGAGAACTTTAGCCTGAGGCGAACACGCCCCCTAAGGGGTGGGACTTATCCCTACAAGAAAGCTGGGAGAAAGAAGCAGGTTTAGGCAGCAGCCATGATTCTCCAACCTGACGCAGACGCTATAGCTCTCCTCTCCAAGATGGATGCAGGTTAAGATCCTTCGCAGTAAGCCACTACCTCGTGGTGCTACACACATTATTGGAAATGGGTTAATCAAGATGTGAGAATTAGCCAGTAAGAGGATAGAGCTAATGGCCTAAGCAGTGTTTAAAAGAATACAGTTTCTGTGTTGTTATTTCGGGTAAAGCTAGCCATGCAGGAGCCAGGTGGCGGGAAACAGCCTGCTGCTCATTCTAAACTCCAGGGTCCCTCAGTTTCTTCTGTGGCCCATCCATAGAACACAAATTGAGAAATCCCCATGGAATTGGAGATTAGAATAAACTTTCATGGAAAATATGATTTTGTTGGACTACTTTGGATTGGTTCTAGAAAACTACACAATTCTTATCCCGCTAAGCCAAAGAATTCTCCATTGTAAATCATACTGCGGGGCTAGATGACCTTTACAGTCCTTCCAGATCTAGGATTATATTCTGCCATGATTCATCCTTACTGGCCAGCGAGACGGCTGTGATTTCACTCTTGTTACACCACCTCTACTTTGCTCAAGTTCTGTCCAGTTGGCCCCAGGCTTACTGCGCAGGAACTGCAGTCATAAATTCATCTTCCAATTTCCTTTGCCTAATTTGTGAAGCATCTAGTTAACTGAAAACTCTATTCCGGGGGATAAAAAGTAATGACAAATTGTTTATTATACACATACATACTTCTAATGGCAAGGAACAGGACAGAAAATGTCTTTTGGCCAGAGCATTTTATTTTTACAATTCAGAATTTTTCTAGCCAGTAAATTTTGATGTTTACTTCTTTTCTACAACCCTTTTCCAATGGGAACAGATTTCCATTTAAAAATTAATGACATTTCCTTCCAAGTACACATGCCAAATGAACAGCAGTCACTCAGTGTGGAAGGTCTCCCTCCCCTTCTATAAGTCAGCATACCGCATGCAGAACACGCAGACATTTCCAGAAATGCTAAGGGAAAGTTGTGATCTTGAACATATCACATATGTTTCACAACAACTGTGAAAAAATGGGAGGTAGATTATTTAGAAAACTTAACATTTGTGCTTATGGAAAACAGAACAGTGAGGGAATTCCAAGGAATTGTAGCCTCAGATACGGGTTCTCTAAATATAGAAATGTCCCATATTGGATGAAAACATGCTGGGGCTTTGTTTTATAATTTTAAAGTGTATTACAAAGATGGACCCCAAAACACTGAAGAGGACATGAAGAAGGATACTCAGCTTTGCTGGAAAGTGAAATCATGTGAGTCACAAACCCAGTTGTCTGTTTAAATTTTCTTGAAATGAGGTTTGGTTTGGCCTCAAATTTAAGTCCACTGTCATTCACTTCAGGCTTTATTACCTTCCCAGTGGCTTTTTATGCCTTGTTGTCTTTCTGGCTTATCTCAGAGTTCTCCCTGGGTGCAACCCCTTACAGGCATTCTCTGTACCCATCTCTTATGAATGCAGAGACCAGCAGACATCAGGTAGATGGTGCCCAGTTTCTGAGGATAAACCACTTAATCTAATGTCTGTAAAAAGTTAGTTGCAGCCTTCATCCTTATGGAACTTTCCTATATGTCTCTGACCGTTTTTTTTTTTTCTCTAAGAAACCAAAGCATGAGTGGTCACATGGCAGAAGGAGAGCTAAGGGCATCACTAAAAGAGAAGTGGGGTGGCCCTTGAGAACACAACCTGTTGCTTGTTCTTGTCATCATCACTGCAACAGTCAAGGTTTCATTCTGTCAGACTGTATTTTTCCCTCAAACAACTATTCTGAGTATTCAAGTGAATCAAGTGTTGAAAGATTATTGATCAGTGCGACCTCAGACAATGCTAGAATACAGAACAATTAATTTGGTAAGGTAACTTGCCACTACCTACTGGTGTGAGATGCACATGTAAGCATTCTAAGCAGTCTGTTTGGAGCGTTCATAAAGCATAGCTCATGTACCAACTGTCAAAGTTTTGCGTTCAGAGCCGTTCCACTCAGAGTACCAGAAAGAACACACGACAGCACCAACAGTGACACAGGTAAACCAGTCCAGCCTTTCAGAGGCCTAGTGAGTCCAAGGGCTCCTGTTCTTCAGGAGTGTATAAATGAACCTAGAAAACGGTCAAGTGAACACAGGATGTTGTGGTTTGAATATAGAATGCTCCTCATAGGCTTGTGCAGTTGGCCATTTGGCTCCCAGCTGGTCGTGTTGTTTGGGAAGAGTATGGAATCTTTAGAAGGTGAAGAAGCCTTGCTGGAGGAAGTACCACAGGGGGGTAGACCTTGAGGTTTTATTGTGTGGCTCTAGCTGCTGTCCTTTCTCTGTTTCCAGATGGCTGATGCAATATAATAAACCGGCCTCACGTCCCTGATACCACACCTTTCTCACTATTGAGTCTTTCTCTCTGGAACTATAAGCAGGAATAACGCTCCTTTTCTCCTAAGTTTCTTTTGTTAGGAGTAGTTGATCACAGCAACAAAAAATGATAAGTCCCAGAAAATTATAGATAGCACGATGCTACTTTTTAAAACTTCAGAAACTGACCCCTATACTGTTCAAGCATATACACCAATGTAACAGTCTTTTTTTACTTCTTTTTATTTTATTTTATTTTTTATTTATTAGAGATTTCTGCCTCCTCCCCGCCACCGCCTTTCATTTCCCTCCCCCTCCCCTAATCAAGTCCCCCTCCCTCATCAGCCCAAAGAGCAATCAGGGTTCTGCCCTGTGGGAAGTCCAAGGACCACCGACCTCCATCCAGGTCTAGTAAGGTGAGCATTCAAACTGCCTAGGCTCCCACAAAGCCAGTACGTGCAGTAGGATCAAAAACCCATTGCCATTTTTCTTGATTTCTCAGTAGTCCTCATTGTCCACTATGTTCAGTGAGTCTGGTTTTATCCCATGCTTTTTCAGACCCAGGCCAGCTGGCCTTGGTGAGTTCCCGATAGAACATCCCCATTGTCTCAGTGTAGAGAAGCTAAATAAGGAGAACCCAAAGAAAAACATAGGCATCCTCCGGAATATTAACCTTCATCAGGTGATGAAAGGAGACAGAGACAGAGACCCACATTGGAGCACCAGACTGAAACCTCAAGGTCCAAATCAGGAGAAGAAGGAGAGAGAACAAGAGCAAAGACAACAGAGTCATTTTTAAAAGCCTAAGGATTTTTTACCCCCCCCCCCAAAGCCTAAGGATTTTAAACATAAAATTGGAGACAGTAGTCAATTTGGTGGTGGATAGAGAAGGAAAAAACAATGAATTCTTAGTGGTGCTGTCAGTCTTACTATTGATGCCTTCTAAATCATAGAGAGGTCACATGTACTCATATATATGTAAAAATACAATATCAGAAAGATAAAGGAAAAGGATGAATTTGGGGAAGAGGAGTGGGGGAGGGAGAAAGGAGGGGGAGGAGGGGGAGGGAAATGGGAGGCGGGGAGGAGGCAGAAATTTTTTTTTTCAATAAAAAAATAAAAAAATTATCTTCTTTTGTTTCTTTTTATTCCTAGTCAGGAGGAATGAGTAACCAACTGAGAAGCCTGGAGAAAGTGTGATTGCTCAAGAAACTGCAGTAAAGTCAATCTTGTTGTCTGCAACACATGACTTCCTCCGCAGGAAGTGTCCATGTGGAGCCTTCCTATCAGCTCCAGACATAAGACTCACATCCCACAGGACATGGGAGGCTTTTAGTTGTCACAGGCTTCCCCTAGAGAATCTACTCAGTCCCCGCGCTTGTCAGCCGTGTCATAATTCCGCTCAGGGCAGAACGCTTCCAGCTGTTGTGGTCAGGCAGCAGCAGGTTCCTATCTGAGGACAGCAGGGCCATGTGGCACCCCACAGCTGGGACAGTGTCAGGCCAGCACGTGGTCTCCATGCACAGTAGCAGAGTGCAAGAGACAGCAATTAGCACCAGGAGAATGAAGATGAACGGGACATATACATAACCTTCATAAAAGTGTCATGGGGAGCAGGACTCACAAACCATATGGATGTGCACGGGGGCTTTCTCAGGCATGGCCTTCTCTGTTCCACTGGTCCAAGTGATGGCTTTCTGAAAGTGGTCTTTTTTCACAGCTGTGTCTTCCTGGTCAGCTCTTTCAAGAGAAGACAGATGAAAGATGCCTATCTGCTGATGGTGGAAAAGACAAGAGCTGTTAAGTCTTGGCATTTTGAGGTTTTCTGTGCTCTGAGAGTTTGGGCCAGCTATGAAATCTGCATAAGATGTTGATAGCTCTATAGGTGGTGAACCTCTTCTTGTAAATATTCCTCTTTGACTTTTGGTAATGTTCTTTGGAACATTTCGGCAATGTCCTCAAACATATCTGAAAGAGCAAAAGATGCTCTTAGTGTACGGCAAAACAAAACAATATAAAACAACAACAAAAGCACACAAAAACCCCAGAATCTCAAGATGACTAATTGAAGTAGGAGGTAATTCAAACTGATTTTGTGTTAATGACTGATAACTGAGAGGACCAAAGAACTGATTCTAACAAGCAGACATGAGCTAAAGAAATGATCAAGTTAAGACCATAGTTGGAACTCAGCCACAGTGGGACACTTCTACTACTGGTGACCATGAAGTAAGAAGGTGCTAGATATGCTGGCTTTACTGTAGTTCCATCCCTGGAAAACAGAGGAAGTGGCCACCAATACCATAACAAGGTTTGTTTTCATCTTTTAATGGCAGTAGTGAAATGCAAATTTAGGGCTTCATGCATGTTGAGCAGGCACTGTACCAATGAACCATATTCCCAGCCTTTAGCTACTTTTATTGAGATATAAGCTCCTGATTTAAAACCAAAAGGTCTTTATTTCTCTATTTTCAATGTACCGGATGCCATTATAGGTGCTTGAGATATATCATTCAGAGAATCAAATGGATGCTTCTATCCCTTTCGAAGGTATGGTCTACCAGGGGTGGAGAGAGTGAGCATTGAGACAGGCCATGAAAGATTACTATAGTACAGAAGTAAGTTGTGTAAATTGACATGTGCTAGGGGAAATGAGAGCAGCTGTGGGACAGATCATTTACAGTTTTCTGGAGAAACAGATTTGTACATCAGTGAGCCATTGCAGTGAATAGGGAGGCAGTAGCGATTTCTAATTGAGGTGGTGAGGGAGTAGGGTGGCATTTGAGCACAAATTCTAAGAGTGTATGTAGGTCTGGGTCTTGTCTCGACTGAAGAAAATGCAGCCTGGTACATGGATCATGACTTTCAAAGGACACAATGAGAAGGCTTAAGAAACGGAGAGGATGAGAGAGAGAAAACAGGCATGAGGCAGAGGCAAGCAGATTCCTGAGGCCAGCCTGGCCTACCTAGAGAGTTCTAGCCAAGCCAGGCTACCTAGGATGGCTCTGTCTAAAGGAAGAGAGACAAGGCACAGAATAAGAGTGTGCTGAGCCTCATGGAAAAGAAAAGCATGCATTGAGGGCTTCACAACTGCTTCCTTCCTTCCTTCCTTCCTTCCTTCCTTCCTTCCTTCCTTCCTTCCTTCCTTCCTTCTTTCCTTCCTTCCTTTTCTTTGTTCTCCCTCTTTCCCTTTTTAAATTGCACTGATTGAGATCACATGTAAAATTATGAAATATGAATATTTTTAGATGAATCCAAAGCATACAATGTGAGAAGCTGAGTAATGAAGTTTGAAGTAAGTGGCATCCTACTCGAAGGTTGTAGATCCTTTTCTGCTGTCCCTAAAGCAGTGGGGGAAGACCTGGAGATGTGTTAACAGCTCCGTGCGCTTGGAGAGAAGGCTTTAATATATGGTGTTTGGGATCAGCCTTGATAGGTGTTAAAGAACTTAAGAATTTTGGAGACGCTGTTGGCTGTTCTCAGCATTGAGCCCTTCCTGGCACATCATGATGGAATAAAAAAGTCTATGTGAGGACCAGTGATATGGCTCAGCCGTACAACCCCTGCCCTCCCCGAGAATCCTGACCCAAGTTTGGTTCCTGAGACCCACATGGTACAAGGAGAGAATTGACTCCTGTAAATTGTCCTCTGACCTACAAACAAACAAACAAACAAAAACCAAATAAATAAGCAAATAAATACATATTTTAAAAGATATAGATGATTTTATAGAGTCTTCTGGCTGGCCAGGGAGGCTTATGAAAAGAACATCTGGTTTGTATAATGAGCTATCCCTACATTATGGACCAATAAAGAAGGAAAGTGTTCAGGAATAGATGTTCAGTGGTCTCTTGGTATGTTTTAAAAAAACTCAGCGTACTCATGGTTTCCCTCACAATATAGGTTTTTTCCCCTAATACTGTCACTTTTGAACCATTTATTTGCTGTGGAGCTGAACTATTTACCTTGTTGTTCCTACCGTCTAGATTTGGGGAATCACACATTCACAGTGTTTTGCCACATGTTTCTCTGCCTTTGGCATATCCTGCAAACTGAGAGCTGAACCCAAGGATTTGATTTGATCTGATTTTATTGCTACCAATTTTACAAGACACAAGTAGAGTTCTTTAGGAAATTTGTGATATCTTCTTGACATTCTATGGGGTAAGTTAGTTCCTGCTGATGCTATACGCCTAGGTCAATGAGTCCATTTCAGTTGCAAAATGGTTATTTTCAAGGACACAATTTGTTTTTAAGTATATGTGTGCATGCGTGTGTGTGCACATGCACCATGTGTGTGCAGGTGCCTGTGGAGGTCAGGAAAGGATGTCAGATTTACTAGAACTGGATTTACAGACAGTTGTGATCCATCTTGTGGACGTTAGGAACTGTATCCCACTCCAATGTAGGAGCAGTAAGTGCTCTCAACAGCTGAGCCATCTCTCCACAGTTTGATTTTCATTTGTTAGACTTTAACTAATTTTAGTGTTAGATAAGTTATTTTTAAAACAGAGATGTGTCCACGAAAAGTGAACAGATGATACAGTCTCACTATATTCCCCTTTTCATGTTCTCTATTATTAATGTATTTCTTAGTAGTGTACATTTACTATAAATAACAAGTCAATATTGATATACTAGTATTAGTCAAAGTTTGTATTTGTTCAGAAATACCCCTTTCTGTTCTGTGATACCATCTAGATACCACTGTTTATGTCATCTTAGGCTGCCATAACTGTCATATAAAATAAATGCTTTTTCCTTGTGTTTCTATAGACTGGGAAGTTCAAAGTCAGAGTTACAAATGACTCCATTCTTACTAAGGACCTGATGTCTGGCTTCTGTAAAACTGCCATCTTTCTGCATTTTAATATAGTAGAGAAAAAGTGGGAAGACACTTTGGTATCTCCCTTGAGGATATTAATCCTGTTCTATTAAGCCCCATCCTTTCAACCTCTTCTAGCCTTTATTACCTCTTAAGGACTTCATATCTAAATATCATCAAACTGGCAGTTAGGGATTCACTATGTGAATTTTGGGATGAGACAAACGTTCAATTCATGACAATAAACAGTATATATAGTCTTCATTTCTCATGAAGCCTCTCTTGATCAAGACAATTTTCCACGATTACCTTGCTTTTGATGAAATAGACAGCCTGGAGGAATAGTAGACACACATTTGTCAAATGTTCCTGAACTGAGTTTGGTCTGATGCTTTTGTAGGTTTAATGGAAAGAATGGCTTCTCATTCAGGCATGGGACATCCCTCTTACATCTTCAGTGTCAAAACATGGAGGTGTTCCTAGAAATAAAATTTATGAAAGGACACAAGCTCTTTAATGTCAAGACAGTGAGAAGTTTTTACCATTCAGGCAAAGCCATTTCCATCTCCAGCAATCTGTCATAACCACCAAGAGTGGCTAGCATTTTGTCGCTTCACTGGCATCTGTTTTATGTGAACAGATGTTGCCTGTTTCTTGCTACTCTGATCGGGTAGCAATTCGCCCTGTGACCTCAGTTCTCTGTGATGTCAAAATGTTACCAACAATGCATTTCATCTACTTTTTTTTGTTATGAATCCAGGAGTGATAATTTCCAATCTCACACATCAGGATATCAGAAGAGAGAGAGAGAGAGGGAGAGAGAGAGAGAGAGAGAGAGAGAGAGAGAGAGAGAGAGAGAGAGAGAGAGACTTTTAGTGCCTTGTAAGACTGATGAATGGCAGAGGAGGGGAAATGAACTCCTTAAAGATTTAGAAGTCTAGTACATTGATGAGTTTTTGTGGGTCCAGTGGCTTGGGGGCATACTGGAATACCACAGAGAAGATGAAGGACTATTCTCTGTTCCTTGTAGTACTTCTTACCCACAAAGGAAATGTGCTTTGTGTGCCTCTGGAGCTTGAGGCAGTAAAGCTACATTTGGGATGCCTTGCAAAGTCTTGTTTTGCCCTTAAATTTAAATGATGTAGACTTAATAGGTTGCTTGTCAAGATACTAGCTTGTTTTGTGTGAGACTCAGAATTTTGTTTTGTCAGATGCATGCTCAGTGGACCGTATTTTGTCTGCAGATTTGAGTCTATAAGAGGTACCCATAGGGGAATGTGTAGCTGCGTCAGCTGTGCCTGCTGTAACAGAGATTTAACTATTTACCACCCCCTTGTGTTTTTTTTTATACCCTTGTTGAATTT